ATGTGACTAATTTAGTTTTTGTTATTATTTACTCTCTCTCCTGAACATTGTCATGGATGTCATAATAGGGGGTAAGTGTCCCTGCCACGAATCTCAAATATTTATGATTTTAAGTGGATATTCTTATCACATAACTATAACTATATAGCAACATATTTTTCATGAACGTTATAGTGTTGATGTTTAATTTGTTAAATTTGATAATATACTAAATGTTCTTGTGCAAGAAAGGCTTTTGTTTGTTTTATATTTGAATGATTATGGTTTAGAAATGCAAAAAAAAAAAAAAAATTAATAAGTGAATGTGTAAAATTAAGACACATGATCTTTTACTTGTTAAAATTTAAGCATGTAAACATAGTATATGGTCTTGGACCTTTAAATTAGTAGATATATTTTGTCTGGGGAGTCTGTTCTAATGTGAATGTTTCACCTTTACTTTTCATTGCATTCCTGTCATCTCTCGCACAATTATCTGAAATTAGATGGTAAGTGTTTTCTTCTTGTTCAGAGTTTTTCTTGTTGAAATTATATTTACATTTGTGGTGAACCATGTTATATGGGCATCATAATTTGACAGGGATCGGGGGGGGGGGGGGGATTAAAAAGGAGAAGTGAAGAGATGTGTATCAATGTCAGTATGATTAACTTATCTAGAATTCCCCAAATGATTTATATCCTTTGAAGATTTGCAAAAGTTAGATCATCCCCAATATGTTAGTGATTTCAATCTCACATCTGCCAATATATACGGTGTCCAATTTTATATTTTTTATTGTTCCAGACTGCATTACATTGGGCAGCAAAACATGGCAGCTCAGACACTGTGAAGATGATTGCAGGAACACCTGGAGTGAATGTGAACCAAAGATCAGTAAGTAGTGTGTGTGCATGTGTGTGTGTGTGTGTGTGTGCATCTGTTTGATTGTGTGTCCATGTGTATGTGTTTGTGTGTGTGCATGTGTATTTTTATTCGTGTATGTTTATTTGTGTGTATCCATGTGTGTGTGTGTGTGTTTGCATGCATGCATGTGTGTTGTATAGCAATTTGAATACAGTAAAGATGATGATAGCTAAAACAACTGGGGCAAGCATTAGCAAAAATGTATTTATATTAATTGGATAATTTTTCTTAGAAGCAATAAAGTTTGAATTTAAATACCATAATGTAATGGCAAATTACCAACAGAGAAGTCATTTCATATACCTTTTATGGACATATTTCATGATGATTATCTATTTATTCTTTTTTATGAAACATGCAGCATGTAAGTAGAACATTTTTTAAAAACAAATCTTGTTAAAATATTTCCTAAAGTTACTCTCATGTCATACATTTTAATACTTCTAACCAGACAAAATGATAACAATTGTTTCACCCAAGAGTTGTGCATAGTAGGCTTCATGAGATTAAAAAAACATCATTTTTTATGTACAGACACAGATGTGTCTGTACATATAGCCATCATCTGCGTCTGTCGTCGCCGTCGCTGTCGTCGCCGTCGTCGCCGTCGTCGCCGTCGCCGTCGCCGTGCACTTTTACCGATAACACGATAAGTGGAAAACCATTTTACCTTTTGACTTGAAACTTGCAGAACTGATGAATATTCATAATACGCAGGTCAA